CTCCTGGCAGTGCTCAGGGGACCCTATGGGATGCCGGGGATTGAACCTGAGTTGGACATATGGAAGGCAAATGCCCTCCCTTCTGTAGTATCTCTCTGATCAACACCTACACCCCAAATATAGTTAAGAAAATAAGGCAAACCTCAGGCTGGGAAACATTTAAAAAGACAAATCCCTGAAGTTCTGGAGGAGAGCCCAGGGGCTTAGAATGCAGTCTTGCACGTGTAAGGTCAAGAGTTCAATTCCCGGTGCCACCCCACAAGCTAAGCATGATTCAGGAAGCTTCTGATGATGCCAGTGCTGAAAGCAATTTTCAGCTGCCCTGCAGCCAAGCATGTGTGAGCACAACTAGCGAGGTTTGACCCCTGTGAGCAGCACGAAACGGTGTGCCAGAACTGTGGCCAGGAAGTGCAATCCCTGGTGAGTGCCTGTGTGAGCACCAAAGCTGAAATGTGCGTGAGCAGAACTGAAAGGCTGCAGCCTCCCCACACCCCTGTGCAAACACCACAGCGAGAGAGACTCTGGCCTGCCCCACAGCACTGTCATGTCACTGCGAACAACAGCTGCGAAGGAAACCAAGGGAAGCAGACAAGTCAACAGGAAGAAATCGTTAATATTTTGGTTTTGTTTTGGGGACACACCTGGTGGTGCTCAGGGTTACTCCTGGCTCAGTGCTCAGGGATCATCCCTGGTAGTTCTCAGGGGATCATATGAGATGCTGGGAACTGAGCCTGGGTTGGCCACAAACAAGGCAAACGCCCTCCCCTTGGTTATTTCCACACAGTATCAGACACCAGAGTACACCACATCAGCCCTCACATAGTACTCCACTCCACAGCACCTCCACCATCTTACTGCACACCATAGCCCACTAGTCCACACTGAACACCCCCACCACTGTACGACACATAGCTCACCACGGCCCACCACACCACACCACACCATATCACACCACACCACACCATAAGCACACCATACCTACCCTACCACAGCACCCATCCCACCCCATGACACTATCCTCAGAACGCAGCTCTGTTCTTCCTGAGCTCTCTGCCTAACTTGTCTCAAGTTTTTCAGGTCCAGCATTAAACGCTCTTCTCGGGGAGATCTCTCTCACCCATATCTCAGTCTCCCTTTTCATTATTCCCACAGTCTTTTTGTTTTTCTTCATGCACTACTCTCATTTATTTGCACCCATAGGCTATTTTCAGGACATGAGATTCAGGATAAAGCACAAGGTGTATCTGCTGAATAAACCAGTGAAGAGGCGTTGAGCTGTACAACTGACTGGGGTTATCCAGCCTTAAGACCCTACTCCAGGGACCAGGGGAGCTGGCTCCAAGGGCTGCGGCATAGGCTTGTCGTGAAGGAGGCCCAGATTTGACCTCTGACACCACATGTTTAGAGTTTGGCCTAAAATATGAGAGAGAGGTGGGGGAGGTAAAAGGGGGGGGGGGAGAGAGAGAGAGAAAGAGAGAGAGAGAGAGTAAAGGAAAGTAGTTACTTTTCACCTTGATCTACGTTGGGGGCTTCTCCCTGCTCTGTGTGCGTGGGAGGTCACTCTCAGTCACTCTCAGAGTATTTTGGGGACCATGCAATGCCACTGGATGGAAACTGGACCCCCTGCCTGCAAAGCATGCTTAGTTCTTTGAGCTGTCTCTCTGGCCCTCATTCTTGGCCTGTGACATTTTGCTATTTTTGTTTTGTTTTGTTTTGTTTTGTTTTGTTTGGATCCACACCTGGTGGTGCTTGGGGCTTTCTTCATTCTTGACTTTGAAACTCCATCTGTCTCTCAGATGCATTTTCTCCCTGAGCTCTGCTCTGAGGAGGCAGAGGTGTCGGCAGCGTCTCCTTCTACTTTGAGCTCAGTGAGGAGCTCATGTAATACAAGTGGGAGCAGGGAAATGGAGATAAATGAGATGTGTGCAGGAGGAGGCTGAAGGCTCTGAGTGAACCGGGTCATCAGGTTCACTGCCTCATTCTGAGGAGTCTCCCCTCAGGTGAGTGGGTCAGAGAGGCACCTTCCAAGTAGCTACATGGTTAGAGATCTGGCTGGGGGCTGTCCTCTGGCCCCTTGCTCTGGTAATTATAACTGTAGCACTGTGGCACTGTACTCCTGTTTGCTCGAGTGGGCACCAGTAACGTCTCCATTGTGAGACTTGTTGCTACTGTTTTTGGCATATCAAATACGCCACAGGGAGCTTGCCAGGCTCTGCCATGGGGGCAGGATACTCTTAATAGCTTGCCGGGGTCTCCGAGAGGGACGGAGGAATTGAACCCAGGTCTGCTGCATGCAAGGCAAACACTCTACCCGCTGTGCTATTGCTCCAGCTCGGGTGACCAAAGTATGTATTATAAAAAACAGACATGAGTCACAAATCATTTGAAAACTGTGGAATCTCGCACCTTCTCTAGTGGCTCAAAATTGTGCTACTGGTAATTATAACTAAAGTCCAGTAAAACAGACATGGTAGCTTGATAAGAACAATGAGGTGATACAAGTATTATAGAGACACAAACGATTTGCAGCTTTAGGCAATATATCAAACACCCCCCCCACACACACACACACCAACTTCCTCAAATAAATGAAGATCTCAGGAGTTCCTGATTTAAAGTCTCTGACCCCCTGAGCCACAGAGCTGTGCAAGGGCCGAGCCCTGGCTGAACCCCAGAAGGAACCCTCCTTCCAATTTGGATAACGAGGCTTCCTTTCCTCCCCCACCCTGCCAAATGGCCTGTTAAATTCTAGAGTGCTGGGTTGTACTGGGATGCTGGACACCCCGTCTCCCCAAACGTACACAAACTACCTGTCCACAGCCTCTTGTGGGGTTATCCCAAGACCCCTCAGAGCAGAATCTGCAACACTGCCAGAGACTAAGTATTTGGTGAGGTTCTGGGTCTCAACAGCCTGGTGTTGAATTCCTGAACAGTTGGCAGTTGCTCTTAAACATCGTGGCTCCAGAAAATTCCAGAAGGGAATTCTGGAGGGAAAACTTCTAATTTGATCTCCCTTCAGCCTGAGGTCACTGTCAGCGGAGCTGGTGCTTTCCAGAACACATCTGATTTCCTTCTCACGAGCTGATTATTACTTACCTCTGAGAACCCACTATCTATGATGACACCATACACCTAGTGAAGAAGAAGGAAGGGCAAGGCCCAGCCCTGAGCGCCATTCTGTGGGGGCTTTGCTGGCACACGGCATGAGGGTTTCCCAGCCTTCAGAACCCACTCCCTCCCAGAAGGGGATGCTGGGCTCGAGGACTCTGCTGAGAGGGAACTTCTCACTGCCTCTGGCGTCTCACAGTTGGCTTGAACTCACACCAGAATCCTCCTCTTTCCTCAGACCAAACTCACTCACCAGTGTTTTGTTTGTGTTCATGATTTTCTTCACCGAATAGTTTAACTGATGGCACTGAGTGGCTCCCGATGACCCTGAAATTTCCTTTGTGGGGACTCTGTCTGTTTCCAGAACCCTCTCCCAACGGGGCAGGTGGTGGGGGGTCCTCCTCCTCGGGGGCCCAGCCAAGATCCAAGACCCTGAAATTCAGTCAGAGAGTCTGCCTTGCTTGGCGACTTTCTGCGGGTTAGTACAAGTCACTGTAATAATAGTGAGGGGTCAGAGTGATAACACCATAGGGAGTTACAACAAAATGTTCTAGGTGGTGGGTTATCCAAACTGAAAGGAGGGTTCCTTCTGGGGTTCAGCTAGGGTCTGGCCCTTACACAGCTCTGTGGCTCAAGGGCTCAGAGACTAAATCAGGAACCCCTGAGATCTGACAGTGCTCAGAGTAACTTCCTGTAGTGCTTTGGGGACCATATGGTATTTAGAGTTGAACCTCTCAGGCCAGTAAGCCTGGAGAACACAATTCTATGGAGAGCAGGAATAATAAAGCCAGGGCCAGGGAGATAGCTTTGGTCTGGAGAGGTGCTTCATGGCCCCCTGATGCAGGAACAGCCCCTGCGCACCGCTAAGTATGATCCCCAAACAAACAAGGCAACAGAAAAGAAAAAGAACAGCAGGAGCACCAATCTCCCTGAGGGGGCCCAGAACTGGAGTTCTGGCAAGCCTCACCTTCCATTAATCAGTGGATGAGAAATGGGAAAAAAACTTTACAAATCGCCTCCCCACCCAAACCCCATGCCAAATCCTATGAGATGAAGACAATCAGCAAACAAAAGAAATACCGAAACATTCTCAGTTTTCAGCCTAAAGTCATTCAGTTGAATGGGAGGTTTTTGATTCCCCATACCGTATTCTATTTCATGTTTCTTTCCCTCAGTATACTAATATAAAATACTACAGAACACACAATTTTTTTTCTGATTCCAGGAGTCATACCTAGCACTGCTCAGGGCCCACTCCTGGTTCCTTGGTGCTCAGAGACTAAACCCCGGCTCCCCACATGCAAAGCATGCTCCAAACTCAAGGGAGCTGTCTTCAGCCCCCCACCCAAAACTTTTTAAAGTAAAATTTTATTTTAAAATAAGTTATATTAGTTTGATTTATAAAACTGTAGAATCAAATTGGTTAAAGGCAAACATTGTGGAACTTTAGAACTGAGTCAATGTAATCAAACTCACGGTTGCGAATTTTATAACAAGATGTCAGACAAGTCCACTAAAAGAAGAGCTCTCTTTCAGAACTCTGATGTTTAAAAAAATTTTTTTGCTGTTTTTTTTTTTTTAATTTTATTTTTTGAGCCATATCCAGCAGTGCTCAGGGCTTGCTCCTGGCTCTGTGTTCAGGGATCAATCCTGGCAGTGCTCAAGAAAAATGTTTGTTTTTTAATTTTTGGTTAATATTCAGCAGGGCTTGATCATGCCTACTGTGCTCCGGTGACTGTGTGGTGCCAGGGATTGAACCCAGTTCTCTCACATGCAAAGCAGGCCCTAAAGTGCCAAATCTAAAGAGACCTCAGATCTCTTAGGATTTTACCCTGGACTCTCAGAAGTCTAAAACTGCAAGCTAAGCTGCGGGCACAATTTCAGGTACTTACTGATTCCTTGAAAGAGTTCTTCGATATTAATGGCATTTTTTGCACTTGTTTCGACCACGACAGCACCTATGGATTCGGCATATTCCTTAGCATCCTTCAGGGGAACCTCCCTGGAAAAGAGGACAAAGTCAGACAAGTGAGTGTTGGTTTGTAAAATATCAATAACCCAAACAGGCTGGACAGAAAGCTCATGTGACAGCATCCCTTTTTAGAATGCCACCGCACTCACTCAACAAGGACAGAGATGCTGGTGTGGGTGAGCCTTTGGGTGAGCAGGAGAACGGGTCTCCTGCTCCCACGGAGACAAGACAGACCCAGTAAAATGTTGTGGCCAGTCCTACAGAAGGAAAAAAAATCTAGGATGGTAGGAGAATCACAAAGATGGCGTGTAGATTCCAACATTCAGAGTTAAGATTAATTTCAACACTATTTCCCACGAGGCCAACACAATTTGAAACATTTTTCTTTCCTTCTTCTACTTTGTTTTGTTGTTGTTGTTGTTGTTGTTGTTGTTGTTGTTGCTGTTACTGGTGCCTGCTGGAGCAAATCGATGAACAACTGGAGAATGACCCTGCTGCAAAGCTATAGTTGTTGTTTTGGCTCAACCCGGTGGAACCTTATGGGGGATGGGTATCCAGGTCAGCCGCACAACAGGCAAGTGCCTTACCCACGGTCTTATCTGCTGCTCTAGCCCCAATACTGACAGTCTTCAAAAAACTTATTTTATTGTGGTATCCTAGTTTACAATGCCATTAAAGTGGTTGTTCTATAGCTGCAGGGCTACTACAATCCCTCCATTGTTTTCAAGATCCCTCCACCATTCTCTCATGTCCGGTCTGCCACCATTGATGCCCAGTTCTATTGATCATAGATTTAATGGGACTCATCTAGTCACTCTGTTTCTTTACACTTACATACAAGCTCATCCATCTTTGACTTAGAACTCACGTCACTTGCCCGGCACTCACAAATTCATCCAAGTTGCAGGAAACTGCAAAATTTCAGCTGTTCTCATAGTTGTGATCTGTGTAATATATCTATTGTGTACACAGGCCACAATTGATAATAACCAAGATCTGGAAACAATCTAGGTGCCCAACACAGACGAGTAGATACCGGCATAGTACACTGTTTTTAAATGGACACATGCACATAATTTTGTAACACTTTTCATGACGAGTTTTTCACAATTGTACAATCTCTGTGGCATGATTTGAAGATTTGGAAATAAACATTTCCTAGTTGTAATGGATGTAGTATGATACATTGAACCTTTACCATTAAAGTTTCCTGCAAAACTTTAATGACACAAATATCACATAAAGTGAAAAATCTAGGCAGGAGAGATAGTACCAGGAACAAGGGGTTGCCTTGCAGGTTGGCCCAGTTTGCTCCTTGAGCATTGCTGGGTGTGGCTCCCCTATCCAAAATTTAAAAATCAAATAAATTAATAAAATGAGTAATTCAGAGTGACAGGGGCCAGAGAGGTGGCTACGGCTGCTGATATGCTGTGTATGCAGGAACCTGAGCTTGATCCCATCCAGGGAATCAGCTCCTGAGCACTGCCAGGTATGGCCCCAAACACACACACACACACACAAAGAAAAGCAGAGCTGGTTGTTGTTGTTGGGGGGGGGGGGGCAGAGCATGAGATTTCCTTCTTCTCCCTTCCCTCCCAGCAGCTATTTCAGAAATAGTTTTAACTGGTTTCTTTTTTCTCTTCTTCTTTTCTTGAGGGGTAGGGGACATATCTGGCAATGCTCAGGGCTTACTCCTGGCTCTGCACTCAGGAATCACTCCTGGCGGTGCTTGGGGGATCGTGTGGGACGCTGGAGATCGAACCCAGGTTGCCAAGTGCAAGGCCAATGCCCTACTTGCGGTACTTTAACTTTGCACTCCAACCCCACTTTAACTGGTTTCTAGAGTGACTGGGAAAATGGCACCATGGCCCTGAAATGTTTACAGGGCAGTGGGTTGCATGGCACCCGGCTGCTGGGCGACTGTGGCAGGTTCCTCATAGTGCACAGCAGTCTCCTGAGCTGCACACTGTGAATGTGCATTTCTATGGCTTAATCTGCCTGCACGAGACACTCCTAGGCCCATGTCCACTCCTCCTGGCCGCCCTGGGCCTGGGGATTCACGCTACCGAAAGGCAGTCTGAAGTGTCAGCGGCAAGTATTCTTCCAGAAAAGGACTTCCCTGCACCCAGTTTGGCCTGTTAGCCTGTGCTGATGTTGATTTTTAAAATTTCTTCCCGCGGTCTTTATCAGACTGCAAACAGAAGGGTGGGGCCCACAAGGATGCCTGCTCATTTCAGCTCAGGGTGGGGTGCACCTGGCGATCAAGCAGCTTCAGAGACCCACCCCCAAGAGTGAGAGCAGGGCGTATACAGTCAGCCCCCTCTACCCCCCCTTTACCTGCCCCCCCCCAAGACCCCACGAGTGAGCAGAGGTGAGAGGCGGCTGGGATGAAGGCGAGGACGGCTGCTTGGACCCAGGGTACCAGCTGGGAGCTGTCAGCCGGGACTGTCTCTCTAGTCACCGTGACTGCACTTAGGTGGGCCAAAGTCTTCCCCTCAAACAAGTCATGGATTCCGAGGACAGGGGGGGAATCAGGCGAGGGTCACGCTGTGCCAGAAGGCAGCTGCAGGCACTTCTTTGCAGCATGCCAGGCAGAGGGCATGGGGCTTAAACGCCCTCACCCTGAAATCCGCTGGACTTGACTCTCACAGCCTGCAGGGCCTCTGAAGACTGCTAATACGAACCGGACGAGAAGGCCCCAGCCCTGGGCAGGCACCGTGTCCACTACTGCATCCCCTGATCTGGAGGGTGGACCTCTGGCCAGTCACCAAGCACTCCACTTGGTTGTCCCTGGATCTCTGCTGCTCCTAGCAGCCCTGCCGGTTTCCAGCAGAACCAGCCATGAGATCAGAAGGTCACAACCTCATCCCCACTGCTCAGCCTCGGCGGGGGGTGGGGGGGGGGAAGGGAGGAGGCTGACGAGATTCAGTGGGTCGTGACGAAGTTGTGAGAGCACCATGATGACACTTGAGCTGGGGCTGGGGTGGGGGCTGGTTCAGTGGCTAACGTGCCTCCCTGGCGTGTGGTCATGAGTTCGATTCCCGGTGCTGCCAGAGGTGCCACGTGGGATCCCAGAAGCTCAGAGCCTCAGCGCCACAGTCCTCTGAGTCCTTCTGTAGCCTGGATGTGTGACAGTAAGGGGCGTGGGCCAGGGCAAACAATGCCCCTAGAAAGAGGGGGGAGCGCCTCAACCAGGAGAGTAAGCTTGTGTGACCTCCCTTCCTCCCGCCACCAGGGTCACCAACAGAGCAAAGATGGGGGAAGGAAAATGCAATGAGATGAACGACTTCAAGTTGGGTGCGCTTAGGGTTGGTGAACACACTGACTTCCTGGAGGGAACATGGGGGCCCAAGCATAAGCTCCTACCATGGGGTTGGTCCCGGAGCGACTTCCCTCCATCTCCCTGGCTTGTGCAGAGCTGAGCCTTCATGGGCAAACGCCATCACACGTGAGGGCTTTCCTGGCTTACAGTTGGTTCCCAGGCGCTATTAAACCCGGGCCCCCAGCGGCATGGGATACTTGTAGTCTGCGAGGTGGGTGACCTGGGCTGACCCACGAAGGAGTAGGCCGTCTCTGGGGCTGGGGCCCAGTGTGTGGAGTCTGTGGCACAGACAGTTGGGAGCGCAGGGTGCCCAGCAGGAACCGGGAAGCTGCTGCAACTCCCGTCTAGAAGAGCCACAGGAAGGTGAGACTTTGTCCTCCTTAAAGACTCTTGCAGACAATATCAAATAGTGACCCTGCGGGCCTCCCGCTGACCCTGGGGGGCCTGCACAGACCTCGGGAGCAGGAAGCTGTGATCCTTGGCCTTATGTCATGATGACTGATGAGATTATGGTATCCATGACTTCACTCTTCAACAAATATTTCTCAGCGCTGGACACAGCACTCGGCAGCGCAGCTGGTGGACAGACTCAAGCCCGTGGAGAAACAAACAGGAGGGCATCTTGATGGGAAGGACTACTGTTAGCCTTTTGAGGCTGCATGAGGGAATGCCGGCCCCCAGAGCCCCCCGGGAGGCTTTCTGCAAACCCACTGAGCTGCCTCCAGGCCGGCAGTGCCCAGGCTGCTGGCCTGAAGGTCTCGTTGCCCAGCTCCTTCTCCAGGCAGTGGGAACCCGCCAAGTGGAGCTGGGAAGGGGTGTCCCTCCCACCCCATCAGCACATTAGAATAAGCAGGAGCGCTGGAGGCTAGGGAAGGGCCCAGCCCCCTCACCCAGAGACCAGAGAAGGGTCAGCGATCAGGCAAGCATCAGGCGCTAAGGGATGCGGCAGGGACGCCCCGGCTGGAGCCAAGACCATGCTCACAGGCTCACCCGCACAGGCATGGCTCAGGGTCACAGACCCCCGAGCATCACACATGCTTCCTCTGCTCCATGTAGGCCCGGCTCCGCCCATGCTGAGCTGTGGGCACCACGAGCGAAATGGCCAATGGCTTCATACAGGGAACTTGTCTAGGACTAACAGCTGTTCACCCACAAATCCACTTTGTCTCTCGTGAACTGCTACCCTCCCCTTCCCCCAGCACCAGCCAGAGACCACAGGGGCATTGGAAATGGCTCTCTTGGAGCTGGCTGCGCTGGAGCGGCTGACCCCTCAGTCCAGCTCCCAGAGACCACCAGCTGCTGGGAGAGGCTGAACGCAAAGCCGCGAATCTGTGTCTGCTGGTGTCTCCAGTGGCCTCTGGACGCAACCTCAGGCCGTAGCGGGGCAAGGCTTTCTGCCCGCTGCCTCGCCACCAGGTCCTGGAGCTCTCTGCCCTGCACCCCCTCCAGGGCACCAGGGGCCTCCCTCCCCTTACCAGCCTTCTGTCTGCCAGCTCACCCACAGTAACTGACCCCCAGACAAACTCTGGGGTTTCTGAAGATTGGGGCACAGCCTGTGCTCAGTCTGCTGATCTCTCCTCGGACCCGGGTCAGAGGTTTTAGTGAGCCTGCTGGCAAGTCAGCTCACACATCCTGATGAGTGACTGCCAAGATCCCCTAGAGCTCTCCCGAGGGGAAGAAGGTCTTAGGTACAGGCGGTACGGGGTAG